TATACATATACATAGTATACACACACACATATACACACACACAAAGAAAAACAAGTAGATAGAATAGAAAGCTAGTGTTTTTTTTTTAATAAAAAAAAGAGGATAAATATAGATAAAGTAGAATTAAAATAGAATAGAAAGTGCTAGAGTTAGAGGGTCAAATAAAGGTGGAACAGATGTGTTTTTAGTCGTTTCTTGAAGATGGTTCAAAAATATGAAATAATTATAGTTTTAAAAGTAAGTCATAAAGGTAAATGAAAATTAAATAATTAAATAAAAAGTAATTAAAATTATTCTACATATAATAAATAAAAAATAGTTAAATAAAAAAATACTAAAACTACAAATAATTTTTTTTTAATTAAATACAAATAAATTATTACTGCCAAACGCAAAAAAGAACCAAAAACAGCAAACACCTTCTGTGTTTAAAAGAAAGAAAGAAAGTCATAAAAGTAAATGGGCTAAATAGCATAGGCTAAAGGAAAAAAGGAGTATAGCATATTCATTTTTAAATAAAAAAGTAATTAGATAACAGTTCAAGTATATTAAATTATTACTGCCAAACGCAAAAAGGACCAAAACAGCATACACCAAATATCTCTTTTTGTGAAAGAAAGAAAGAAAGAAAGAAAGAAAGAAAGAAAGAAAAATGGCATACATTGATTGTCTTAAAGAAAAACAAGCTTTTAAAATTTTAAGAATAATTAGAAATTACAAATTTTCTCAGAATAATCAGTTTTTACAAACCAATCATAAGACATTTATAGCACAATATATGTGTAATAACAACCAATGAAGTTATATTACAATGTAAAGACACTCGCTTTGCCATTAAACACTTACAGGATAAAGAGGAGAAGGTGTATGTGCAGAAGAGGGTAAGCAGTCACCTCTCCCAAACCCCAGCGCGTCCACACTGAAGCTAAACTGGCTCCTGCCTCGACCTCTGCTGCCTGCCATGACCGGACCTGTATAGTCACCACGCGTCAGCGAGTATATCACTAGCCATTAGCAACAAAAACATTCACAGCCAGATCCACAAAGGCTGACTTTATTTAAAGCTTGGATTTAGATTAGTCACTAAACAGCTTACCTCAAAATGTGTCTCGGGTTCAATGGATCGCATGCATGGAGTTGTCCTTCCAACCCAGCCTCTTATGAGCCCAATAAACATGCGCGCAGATCACCAGCTGCCTGCTGAGTGTGGGGCCATGTGTACGGCACTGGCACTTGAGCACGTGGTAGTTGTGTTTACATCCGGCACATGTGCACGTGTCTTCCGCCTCAGTTTACAGACCAGACACACACACTGCTCGCTACGAAGTTCCTAGTATTACAAATTATTGCTACTACATTGTATTAGTAGTACATTGCTACTACGAGTGTTATTAAGAGGTTATTAACAGTTGTGAATAGGATTAAAAAATAAGATTGATCTTAATGATGCTGTAAACTTTTTTGGATGCGGCATATAAAATATCCCTACCTGAGACATATCACTGAAATAAGTGTTGATGAGAAATATCGAGTATATCTGTTACAGTGCGAGACTCCTTCCGTGTGTTTCAAAGGCTGCGCGTCATCGGAGGGCGGGGTTTGTACCGGGGGCGTGGTCTAACTTAGTAGTCGAGACATATATAGATAAACGATGCTGAATATCAAATGTCAAAATATATAAATAATAGTTTAAAGGTGTTGTCACACGGTACATTTTACCCAAGTGCTCAACACTGCATGCACCAATCAGATTACAATATAAGACTATTATAAAAGTTAAAAGATTCACTTAATAATTTTTATAGAGATTGTGCGGATTTTCATATATAAGTCAAGCACTAATCCTGAAACACTTAAGGGTCATAATAGATTTAAACGATTACAAAGTCTTGAGATTTGAAGGCGCCCCCTGAAGGAGAAGAATGTGTTGCATTGGAAACAGTTAAATACAGGGTGAACTCAGTAAAGTAGGACACTTAAACATGTCATTTTAGATACCAAGAGATTATTTTCTTTATTCTTTTTATTATTATTATTATTAACAATTATTCAGCAACATATTTAACAACCCCAAAAAACATATATGAGTAAAGTTCATAAGTTCACTCAATTCATGTGTTAAACTCAAAACAACTCTCAGAGTATGTACTAAAATAAACTCTACAACATATTAAAAATGTGACTAGAACATGTTATAACAAGTAGGCTAAACAAAAAACTGAATAAGTTTCAACAATTAATATATAACCATATGGTAAAACATTTTTTTCCCCTGTCTACATTTTCTCTAAACACTTAAAATTAACTTTAATAGCAAGTAACAATATTTAAAAGCTTTATACTCTGCATCTACATTTTTCAGCCTTCAATTTCATGCTTCCCCTTCAATCCTTTTCGCTCTTCTATTCTAACCTTCCATCTCTGACTTGAATTTACTGACTGCACACTCATTTCTGTTTTCTAAAAAGTCAGTTATGCATGTCTGTTATACAATAATCAGAAAAATGTTTTTTTTTAACGACCATGAATAGAATTAGTGAAGGTTCAAGGTGGCCCACTTTATCTAGCACACAGAGTGGACCAGTTATATTACTAAATGTGCATTTTAATCCATGTTAATCTGAAGTAACAAATAATACGAGTACTGTCACAATAATATTTGTTTACATTTAGTTAACAACAAAGAAAATCTTAATGCCGAAGTGTTTACTACGATAAGCAAGTCCTCCTTTGTAGCCACAATTACCAGTGTCATATTGCATTGGCCAAACTGTTTTATTGTTTAAAGAAATAGTGTCCCTTTAATTAAAGGCCATTATTATGCTCTGAAAGTGAAAACAGAAGAGTAAAGAAAGACCTACTTTACCTGAATTCACCCTAATGTTTGTCCAGCAGGTGGCACAATGGTGGCTTGTACTGTACTCATATGGCTTGACATCAGTGAAACTGTGTTGGAGGGATCTGGCGTGACCAGCATATGCCCTTTTTTGCACACCCTTTGTTATAGCTGTGTGGGAGAACTTTATTTTGCCTATTGCTTAAGTCAAATATTAGGGTGGAAACCTGAGTCACGGAATGTAGTTTCAGTCTGACATGAGAGTAATATTTACCCAATGTACCATTGAATAAAGAAAGACAATTAAATAACCATTATACATCCTTTATCAAACCATGTACAGTATACAGTTGTGGATGCAAAGAATTCAATTCAATAAAACTACACTAACAAGACAAGACATTTTTTAATTAATAGTTTTTAAAATTATTATTAACATTTCTCTGTTAACTTTAGTTAAGGTGTTTTTTTTTTTACCATTTTTTTTAGTTTTTGTTTACACACACACACACACACACACACACACACACACAGTTATTTAAGTACATCAAGTTAAACTAAATGAAAATTTGCAGTTACACTTTATTTAATGTGTCCTTGTTACAGTGAAATTGTACATTTAAGTACTAATATTACATTTACATTTAGTCGTTTAGCAGACGCTTTTATCCAAAGCGACTCACACACACACACACACACACACACACACACACACAGTTATTTAAGTACATCAAGTTAAACTAAATGAAAATTTGCAGTTACACTTTATTTAATGTGTCCTTGTTACAGTGAAATTGTACATTTAAGTACTAATATTACATTTACATTTAGTCGTTTAGCAGACGCTTTTATCCAAAGCGACTTACAAATGACACACACATATACACACACACATATACACACACACACACACACACACAAAGAAAAACAAGTAGATAGAATAGAAAAAATAGAAAGCTAGTGGGTTTTTTTTGTTGTTGTTGTTTTTTAAAAAATAAAAAAATAAGATAAATATAGATAAAGTAGAATTAAAATAGAATAGAAAGTGCTAGAGTTAGAGGGTCAAATAAAGGTGGAACAGATGTGTTTTTAGTCGTTTCTTGAAGATGGCTAAGGACTCATCTGAAAAAACTTCATCATATTAATAAGCTACATGTACTTACTATATGTTAGGGTTAAAATTAGGTTTTGTCTTAGGGTTACTTGCATGTAATTATGCATAATTTATTGTTATTATAATAGTAAGTACATGTAACGCGTGACAAGGACACCTTAAAATAAAGCATTACCAAATTGGCGTCTAGCTGAAATAAAGAAAGGTGAAGGTTTTTATATCAACTAAAAAAAAAAAAATAAAAAATAAAAAAAAAAGTGTTTTTAATGTTTACTTTATTTGAAATAGCTTATTAATTTATTTCAAATTTGTTTATTTAATTTTAGTTAACTACAGTAACCCTCATACACAAATTTTCAGTAAAAACTCGTAATCATGTCTCCCCACCAGATTTGTATTATGCCGGAAATGTGATGATAAGGAGGTCATAAAAAGCCCCGAAAAGCATTTTCTCATTGTTGGCCGTATGTTTCCATGGCAATACATCCTGTGCAGTGAGATAACCTGTGTCCCTCTGGTGAGGGTGCAGCAGACCATTGTCAGGCACATTAACCCCTGGTTAAACACAGCCAACATACAGCGTTTTGACGCAAACACATTTCACAGCAGTGCAGTGCATGCAGGTCAAACAGAATGGCTTTGACAGCAGTCCACGGGTCTCACTGAAGAACAATGAGAAAGAGGATAGAGTAAAACAAAGGAGTTAGTATGATTCATCATCTGTTACTAACTTTAGGTTCATAAAGCCACGCCTCCATCCACGACTGATTGACAGCTGACATTCTGTCTCTGGATAAAAGCTGTGCAAATAAAGGATCAGCTTCATTTACCATCAGTACCTCTCTAGAGACTATTACAGAAGCTCTTCAGCCAGAGGAATATCATTCAGTGAACTTAATTCCATTTCTCTTTCTTCAGGATGAGGAACATTCCATTATATTATACTGGGGCTGCATTCTTCTTCTTGCTGTTCTCAGCAACAGGTAAGTTATGACTTTTGCATTTAATCAAATCCTGAGGATTTCACTATAGAAATAACAAACTGAGTTCATATGTAACTCATAATCGTGTAGTTTGAAGAACAGTTTAATACTTGAAACATTCACATCTGTTCTTTTTTGTAAATGATAAAGTAGGCTATATGCTTAATTACTTATACTATGAAAAATCTGTGTTTGTAACAGGTCGTACTTGGACAAATAAATTAATCAAGAACTCAAATCAAGAAAAAAGTAAGAGAAATGTGCTAAAATGGCAACACTTTACAATAGGGGGCCATTTGTTAACATTAGTTAACTACAGTAGTTAACATAAACTAACAACAAAAAAACTTCTAAAGCATTTATTCATCTTAATGTTGATTCCAACATGTATGATCCATTATCAATTAATGTTAGTTAATAGTCCTGAGCTAACATGACTAACTATGAACAGTTGCATTTTTATTGACTAACGTTAACAAAGATGAATAAATACTGTAACAAATTTATTTTGTAACAAATTCACTGTAACAAATAAATTGTTAGTTAATGTTAACGCATTAAATATAGTTAATCAATGGAACCTTAAAATGTTTTGTGTGCTAGCAAAGTTGGAAAATCAATCATGTTTGTATTATAAAATAACATGAGAGTAAAACAGCTTTCAGTTTTTGTAAGAAAAAAATAGATTATATAACATATGCTATTTGCATTTACAAAATATCTGATATCAATACATTTGAGATACATTTATAAATCAATAAATACATACAATTCAGCATTGTAGGTACTGGTTTTGTATCAAATTTGAAACTAGTGTCAGTAGTCTTGAATAGTTACAAATACACTTATTTTTGATTAAAACAAATTGAATTTAGATGTCAAAGGTCATGATCTGACATTGACGTGAGCTGAATTATGGGGGAAATGTCCAAAAAATGTCCCCACAATGTCAAAATTTACTATCCTTGTGGGGACATTGGTCCCTGTAATGTAGGGAATGCCAGGACACGCACACACACACACACACATGGCAATGAATAATCATTTAACGTTTCTAGGTGCTGAGCCCTACAGCCTTTTAAAAATTCTGGAGGGCCTCCAGGCAGAGCCACAGAACTACCCTTCACCCCGGTACTCATTCTCCCTCTGCATGGAGATCAACAACCGCGTCTTCAGCGACGCTCTCCTCAGCTCTACCTCACAGCAGTACAAGCGCATGTATGCTGAGGTTGCTGGAGTTGTAAGTGTTTCCCGTGGTTTACGAATGAATAAATGTCAGTGCCAGTTTTATTGACTAGAGCAGCCATTTTATACATAATACCAGCAACAACATATTCAGTACATGTAAGCTGTTGACCCTAAGAGAGATCCTGTGATCCTGTTTCATTTTCGCAGCTGGACGTCGCCTTTAACTGCTCTGACTGTGACACAAGAGAAACCTATAGAGGAGTGACAAACATACAGTTCAGGTAAATCTCATCTCATTCTTTTGCTAAAGGTGTATTAGTCCCAAATGACTGTGGAAAATAAATGAGTAACAATAAATTGTGATATAACGTTAATAATGTTAAGATAATATAATGTTAAAGTTCACTTTCATGACTGTTTCTTAACACACTTAAGTAGACTTTTTGTTTTTAAAAAGTACACTTTGTAATACAAATTAAAATTTTACTTTAAAGAACATTTAAAAATCATTATGTTTTAATAATCTTTTGGTGCACTTGTTGACTAACATACTAAAGCACGTGTAAAGTACTTGATTAAAATTTTAACTGTAGTGTGTTGTTTGATATAAAATTTAAGTGAATATATTTTATATATATAGCTACTAAATTGTAGCGTCATCATTACAAATGTGTAATTATTACAAATATATTTTTAAATACATGACCTACAGGTTTTTAATAGAAATTATTTTAAAGTATTACCATAGCTTAGTTTACTATAAAGCCTTGTCATAATTCAGCAATACACTTTAATCTTTATCTCAAAGGCAACAGAAATAATTTTATATAAAGATATACTTAAGCCCTACTTAAGTTGGTCAAAAAAGCTCTCTAAATAGTTTTTGATATAAATATAAACTATAACACATTTTCATTTAAGTGTCAGAAAACATTAAATTCACTCCAAAAATATATTCCTTTAAACTAGATTATTTCTGTAATAAGTACTTTTATTAAAAGCATCGTTAAAGGGTTAGTTCACCCAAAAATGAAAATTAGGCTGCGTTTTACTCACCCTCAAGGCATCCTAGGTGTATATGACTTTCTTCTTTCAGACGAATAACGCAGCCTAATTTTCATTTTTGGTTGAACTAACCCTTTAAGTGTACTTAAGTGTTACTGCATTAAATATTGCAATCAATCAAAATTTTGTTTCTCATTTGATTACAGTAACGGGTCTGTGATCGCAAATTGTACCCTCCAGTTCCAGACCATTTTTATCAACCATGTTGTGATCAAGCATTTGTTCCTGAGGGCCATAGATAATAACACTCAAGTGAACGGTCTTGCAGTCAACAGACAGTACACAGCTGGTGAGTATTCATCATCAGACCCATGCAGAATGTATGAATTTGCTCCCATTAGATTCATCGATGTAAATGTAAATTATTTTGGCCACACCAACATTCAACAAACACAGGTAAAACATGGGGAATTTCATTAGTCCAACACGTTTATGTTTATATCTTGTAAGTCTGCTTCATGGTGTTTGAAAACCTAATTTTCTAACATAAATGAATTCTAAAATGTATATATTTTTCATGCAGAAACAGTCACACCTGCCTGGCTTTTTCCAAAGTCAACAACTTTTGCAGAATCTAGTGCTGAGGGTCTTCCTGGTTGGGCCATTGCATTGCTAGTGCTGGCATGCATCATCATACTGCTTCTCTTCATCATCTTACTACTGGTAAATACTTTACATTTACAATTTACAAACTCACAAATTAACAGGACAAATGGTCAACACTACAATGCTGTGATGTTATCTAATCTCATTTCCATCTCTCCAGATATGCTTTTGGTGCTGTAGGAGAAAAGAAAAAAAGGAAGAAACACAAACTGTTGCTCCGTATGAGAGAACGTCTTTCAAAGAACATCTTGCCAATCCCACATATATGTCACACACACCTGAGAGGAGCCCCAACTACCGGAGCTTGGTAAGAACAGCTTCATTTCATATGACTGTGATATAAAGTGAACTAAGTCAGCTTTTTTGTTATATTACCTTGGCATTACAATTCAGAAAAATATTTAAAGAAGAGAAAATTAGCTGAAAATGTATTCACCCTCTGGCCATCCAAGATGTAGATGAGTTTGTTTCTTCATCAGAACAGATTTGGTGAAATGTAGCATTACATCACTAGTTCACCAAAGGATCCTCTGCAGTGAATGGGTGCCGTCAGAATGAGAGTACAAACAGCTGATAAAAATATCACAATAATCCACAAGTAATCCACACCTCTCCAATCCATCAATTAACATCTAGTGAAGTGAAAAACTGCATGTTTATAAGAAACAAATCCATCATTAAGATGTTTTTATCTTCAAACTGTTTCTGAAATATGAGTCCTCTATCCATAATACTGCTTTCTCAAGTGAAATAGTTATTTCATCTAAATCAGGAGAGAAATATGCACAGATCAAGCACCGTTTACAAGTGAAAACAGTTCAAAACAAACATGTGGGTGGATATAGATGTGAGAGGACAACAGAGGATGGACTTTTTCACTAGAAGAATCTTTATAGATTTTGGCCAGAAGTTAAAGTTAAAAACATCTTGATGGATTTGCTTCTTAAAAACATGCAACTTTTCACTTACAAGATGTTAACTGATGGACTGGAGTTGTGTGGATTATTGTGATGTATTTATCAGCTGTTTGGACTCTCATTCTGACGGCACCCATTCACTGCAGAGGATCAATTGGCGAGCAAGTGATGTAACCTCATTTCTAACCTCATCTCCATCTTGGATGGCCTTGGGGTAAGTATATTATAAGCAAAATTTTCATTTTTAGAGGAACTACTCCTTTAAGGCTAGCTGTGTGAGTGTTTCTAATACAATGGCTGAGGGAGCGATGCCAAATCTTTCTCTTTTCTGACCACCTTAATCATTATCTTGATTTTTCTTTTGCTATTGGAGTAAATCTCAGAAATGTGAAAAGTGTCCATTTTTATCTACGATTTGTGCAGTTTGAAATCTTGGAACTGTCGCAAATGGTTTGAGCAATCAGATTATCAGAATATTTGTGTTTATTACTCACGTGAAGTGTATCTTTTATGCTTAGATTGGTACAATACTCTAGGGGAAAATAAATATACTTAAATGTATTTGAAATACATTTATTTCATGCTAAGTATACTACAAATACATTTTCATATTTATGTACTTAATAAAATACACTGCAATTGTACTTTTAGTATACTAAACTGGTATACTTAAAGTCTGCTAAATTGGAACAACTAATTGTGTGCTTAAGAGTGCGGAAGTAATGCTGAAGTCCAATTAAAGACATACTGAAGTATATTTGATTGTGCTAAAGTGGAACTATTGCAAGTATACTTAAGGTACACTTTAAATATCTTGCATTTAAAGAACGATATTATTCAAAGATCATACAATCCTCATCAGTAGAGACATTAAAACAAAAGTGACATTAAAACACATTTTAGACTTAATATTAAGAAATGTGTGTTGTGAACATGTAGTACTCCAATTAAAGTTTAATTATAGTTTTTATATCAGTAAGTCTTGAGTTATCTGTCAGTAAATATGTTAATAGATTTGAACTATACTTAGTATGAAATAAGTGTATTTGAAATATATTACTTTAGGGTATACAATAACTTAAGTGTTTAAATCTTATTTATCCATTATTCATATAATTACATAAGATGTTTGTCTAATGATTCTGTTATTACAGCTGACAGACATGATCTCTAATAAATCGTTTCTTCTACAGGGAGAACCAGAAGCACAACATGGCAACCGATCCGGGACGTACACGATGAATCCTCAGAGATGAAAACCACAACACTGCTATAAGAGAGGTAGAAAGAAATCCTTTATCAATTAACACTTCTACAGACAACCATTATAGGCGTCCATACTTATATGTTTATTATATGGGCATCTATATACAGAATTCCTGCATTTATCAACAAAATAAGAATTATAATGTAATTACTTTCTCAAGCTGGCCTCAGAAACTAAAGGATAGGTTTGGACTAACAGGTTTGTCTATGATGGAGGCTTACAGGTAAAAGTGTAGTTGCAGGCGGAGCAGATCTATTCAACATGAACAAAGAAACACAATGCAGATTAAATTCATAAACTGGGTTAGTTAACATGAGGTGAAGCCCTTCATTCAATGAACTGTTTACCATCGTGACCACAATGCTTGCTCAATATAGCAATACAAAGATGGGATTTAATGCTAGTAAATACACTTCATAAAGCTACCATTGACTTAGGATTAAACACAATACGTTCAGTTCTTTTACACACGATTAATGCGCTGTCAAATATAAACGGTGATGATTTATAGCTATCGCTGGGAAAGGCTTTATGCTGGTCATTACAGATTGCTTTAAACTCTGTGTAACTATTGTAATGCAGTGATGAGTGGTTTAATTGTTTGAGATTATTTAGCTTTAATTAAAAAGTCATACTGATTCTGAAACAATTATTATTTCTAACATTATGTGCGTGCCAGCTATTTGAACAATAAATCCATCCGTCAATGTATTCTCCGAATTGGTGATCAGTAAATGAATGAATAAAACTCAATGAGTCAGATTTATATACCCTGGTGCATTTAAAGTTCAGGAATCTATTAAAACTCACCCTTCACGTGTCATTTACTGTGCAATATTTCACATATAGTTTACAATACAAAACTTTCTCTGACATGATTAATCATCTTGTTAACATTAAACACTGAAAACTGTGAAACTGACGTCACTGACAACTTTCAGGAAAAGTGACACTGCACTCGTCGAGATCTGTCTGGTAGAATGTATACTAATCTAAATAATATGGTCTTTGTTTCAGAGGCATGGAGTAACGGATGCTATGAAGGTCAGGATGGTAAAGTGGTTTCTCTCATAGAAGATGCTGGTTTCTTCAGCAAGTTTCTAAAAATGTGGACTTGTCATCATTACCATGTGTAATCTAAGTATTATACTCAACTGGATAGACAATTATTTATTTCTGTACTATTTATGAAGCACAGATATGGGCATTTGGGTCTGTGAACTTTTGCATCTCTGACTCTATTTCAGTGTAACGTAGGTAAGACCGGGGCTAGTTGTCACACTTTATACTCCACTAAATATTGACCAGGTTAGGTTTATTCTTAAGAAAGCCTTTGAACATTTGCACTGTTTCAAAAATATTTCATTTAAAGTGTACTTTATGATATTCAGTGTATGTGAATGTAAAATCTCAGACAGTAAAACAATTATAAAACAGAATCATTTATAAAACAGCAACAAAGATCAAACAGTCAATACACATCAAATATCAAAACAATGTTTTGGCCAACATTACATGTAAAACATATGTGACAATGCTTCCCGGTGCGACATCTTGCCCCGGTCTCTTTTACACTTTATCTTAGGCTACAGAAGAAGAGTAGGTCTCTTAAATTTAAAGATTTTATTTTTGATACTGTACACTCTTAAAAATAAAGGTGCTTCACGATGCCATAGAAGAACCTTTTTGTCTAAAAGGTTCCATAAAGAACCTTTAACACCTGAAGAACCTTTCTGTTTCACAAAAGGTTCTTTGTGGCGAAAGATGGTTCTTCAGATTACAAAAAGGTAAGAAAGAGATGGTTCTTTAAAGAACCTTTGACTGAATGGTTCTTTGTGGAACCAAAAATGGTTCTTCTATGGCATCGCTTGAAGAACCCTTTGAAGCACCTTTATTTTTAAGAGTGTATGTGGCGGTTTGGGATCTCCAGATTACAAGTCTATCAATTCATAAATGTCTTTTGATTTGTAATTTGCATTCGTGTTATTTGTATGGTCATTTACACTTATTTACACACTTTCTGTGGGTAGAGCTGTTGTATTCTATGCACAATACTTCAGCAAAACAATATCTTACCAGGTACATTATAAATAAATAAACTGTATGCAATGTATGCAACTGTATGTGTGTTTTATTTATTTGCATGTTTATTTATTTTTTGAAATATTTATGTTTGATGAATGGCTATCCTCTTCTCAATTTTGTCATTTCATCTGAATATCTGTAACGGGGCTGACGAGACGTGAGACGTGTGGATCCATCTGCAAGCTTTATTAAAGAGACGTGGTAAACAGGCAGGGTCAAACAATGGCAAACAGGTATATGGCGGGCAAAACACAAGAATAGTCCCAGGGCTAGCGTAGGTCACCGATCGGCAGACAGAATCACAGGGGCGAGACGAGAGGGAAAAATCCAGGAAAACAGGCAAAGATCAGAAACCGCGAAAACAGGCAAGGCAAGGCAAAAACAAGGAAAACTCAGAGACTCGGAATGGGGTACGGGCTAAACAATACTCAGCCGAGAAAGGTGGTTAGAGTGGGTGTTATATAGTGAGTGAGGTGATTAGAAACAGCTGTGTGCAATGAGTGCAATCAGTGCAGTGTGCAAATCGTGCAAAGAATGATGGGATATGTAGTCCGGGGTGCTATGCAACAGTTTGTGTTGTGCGAGAGTCAATGTAATGGAAAGGGTGACCTCTGGTGGTGAATAAACGGAAGTCCATGGACCGAATTCGTGACAATATCAACATTTATGGGATTTAGTCAGTCAAAACAGATTAATTGATCTAATTTTGTGTCTTTGGAAAATTGTGATTTGTGATGTTGAATATCAATAATTTTTGTGTCTGTTTAATAACGAGGGATTCGTGGACACTGATGTTTTGGAGTGCTTTATGGAGTAAAACTTACAGTTTTATTTTGAAGTGAAAAGATGAACTGAAGTACTTATTCCATGAATCACTCAATAATAAGCATAACGTACTTACAAATCATTAATAAAATAATTAGTTTATAGTTTATTCTGAAGTCTCTACATTGTTAGTAGGCTGTATATAAATAGTGAGTTTTTCATTCAATGTCACTGTAATTAATACAATTATTATTGTTTAATTAGGTCTTAGTAAAGGAATTGTTAATTGGCAGGAGTGAATATTTGTAACTTTAGATTGGGTCACGGAAAATGCGAAAATGTCATTAAGTGCTTTAACCTTTATGGAACAACACACACACACACACACACACACATATACATATATATATAAACAGAAATAGACAAAATTTTTATGTACAGTTTTTATGTATAGTTTTTATTACATTAAAACCTCTACATTATCAAACTAACCCGAGATCAGAGTAAACAACACGAATGTTAAATGTAAAATAAAATGGTCAAAAGCCACATCTTTACGTTTTGTGACCATACAGAATTTAGCTTTCAAAAAACAAACCCACTGTGTATTAAACATGCATTATAAGCAGCGTAGCCTAATTTATATTTCACATGAAGCAGGTTCAGTCTGGTGTGCTATTGAGGTGGGATACTGGTAAGGTTATGGGACAGGTTTGGTGGTATGGGTAGGTTTAAGGTGAGTTAAGTTGTAAGGGATGTGTCAACAGTGTAATTATAAATGTTATTCCAGAAATTCATTGTCATTCAGATGTAATTACATGCAGGTATTTTTTTTTAAATATAAATACAATGTAAAAACATATATGTACACAATACATGCATTGTTTTAAATTATTAACTTAAATGTACTGTAGTTAAGGCCACTTAATATAAATTGGGACCTTAGCGGTTGGATTAAGGGATCTAAATATGGTCATGCAGAATAAGGCATTAATATTTGCTTTATAAGTACTAATAAATTACCAATATGCTAGTAATATGTATGCTAATGTTAGATCGAGTCTCCACGGCAGATAATAATTAGGATCCAGCCCCGGACCCCAGATCCTGTCAGAAAATATCAGTTTGTCCGGTAACAGAACAACTAGTCAGCAGAGCTGTCGATACCCAAACCCTGTTAATAGCATGTCTTGTCTGATATCCAAAAATACCCAAAGCGCGTGTTTAACAGTCTTCTGTCAGTCAAGAAGTTGACTGAGGAAAGCCAAAGAAGAGCAGAAGCAGGAGACGAAGTGATAATGGTAAAAAGTAACAGAGTTTATTGAACAATCTTAGTTGCGTATGTCTCAATGTTTAAAGTGCGTCTGATGAACACAAATTCAGCAAGTAATGATATATCAAACTGATTCACAACAACATCCCATAAACCTTATTGGGTTTCCATAAATATTCCCTCTTATCTATCTCTTATTCATACAGACAAAACAGTTCATGAAACCCCACAAGCATGAGATTGAACAACAATGGAAATGCATAAGCAAGAAAAATAATAGGAAATATAAAATACAGAAGCATAATAAAATAATAAGTGAATAAATGATAAAATACTTAAAATGATATAATGATAAATGATAAAAATAATCAAATAATAAATCATGTGAATGATTAATGATTATAAAATGATTATGTGAATAAATGATTATAAATGAATAAAAAAAAAACATAAAAATTTTGATGTGAGGATCTAAGGATTCTTCACTAATAAGCAATTAGTTAATAGTGAGAATTGGTCCCTAAAGTGTTACCAAAGTAAACGCATGTTGTTCTTAAGGGTGGCATATTTCTCCATCTTACCCTTTAGTTTTATTTTGGATGTGCTTAACTAGGTTACACACATCAAAGTTCATGAAATGTGAGGTATCTGAGAATTAGAAAGTTACAGAATTCATATTCAATTCAGTCCCACTTAACTAAATATTTCAGCAGGTTACTCCAAAGGCACTATGTCTTTATTTAGTGCAATTTTATTTCAGATGAAGAGTCTGATGATTTTCTTAAAGGCACAATATGTATTTTTATTAAAATATCCAAAATCCACTAGAACAGTGTTATATATTTTGCTGACTTGTGTCTTACATGATCCCAAATGTTTAGAAGAATGTTTAAATCCAGAGAAATAAGCAATTTTAACTAGTGACACGGACCGTGTCTATAGTGTCTTTGTGTCGCCTGCCAATGACGTCATAACCCCTCGATTTCCGTTTAGTTTTGTAGAAAACATGGAAACACCAAAGACGCTTTAATATGTTGTGTGTTTTAATAGACCGGTGACGACCGCACAGAGTAGCATTATAACAGAACTTTCAAATGTATCTAGTATGATAAAACAGCGCTGCTTTCCCCCACATACGCACGACCAGAAGCAGCGGAAGCAGTCGACTGTGGCATAATAAAAGCTCCGCTGCTTTCCAGCCGTGTGTCACGCTCGTTCAGCGGCCTCGTTTCGCTTCGACATCTTTCAGCCTCACCCTGCTTCATTCTACTACGTTAATAAATCATTAATACATTAGTTCATCCATGAACATGATTTCTGCCCGAGTCCCGTCGGATTGCATCGGCTGTGGGGATGAAGACGACAACTCCCATGATTTCACACTCAGTCACGGCATCAAACTACGCCTTTGTCTATTTGTTTATTTTGAATACGCGCCCTCTAGTGGCGAAAATTACATATTGTGACTTTAAAGTGCAATTAAGTGATCAAATATTTATTTATTGTTGAAAATCAAACTTAGCTAGATTTTTTAGCAAAAATGCTAGAATTAGTAATCATCTCAAAGTACATAGATGATTAAAAATAATCAGTACCCTAACTCAGCCACTACATCTTTCATGCCTCTCCAAACTATTCCACATTTTCCTCTGCAATGTTAACATTCCCTCATAAGTTTAAGATAATATTATATATATTAAGAAATTGTATAACCTAATAAAATCAGTCAGGGATCAGTAAATACCTTCATGTAAGCTATACCTGCACTCAGATCCATATTAAATGTAATGGTAGAGTTTGCTTCTATAGCAGACATTTAGATATTTTAAGCATACTTTTAGGGCTATTATCATATAATATTTACACGTTTTAAGTGGTTCACCAGCAAATAATGAACAAATGTTACATGTAGAGGCATGTGTAAAAGATCACATAAACCTGCTTATCAGTGTGCTCTGAGTAATCATGCCAAAGCAGAAAGAAAACAACTGCAATCTCGGACAAAACCCTTGATACACTCTGCTTTCAACAGAATGCCAGTTGTTCCATATACGATGTGTTTTATAAGTAGTCAGCTATTGTTTGTGTTTGATTTCCTGGCTGAATGTCAGAGGTGCTGCGCCTATTCTATCTTTAGTA